ATTAAGTGCACACACGCTTCAGTGCTCAGTCTTTATCAGATACTGCTAACACGACATTCGCAAATAAACAGCAAAGTTTTGTTTTGTTGTTTTTTAAGTGTGATTTTGTTGCAATGTAATAATATATCGTATTGGTTAAAATGAGAATAAACACAATAAAAATTAAATAATTTTTATAATTTTTAAATTATTTCTTACTTTGTGCCTTATTTACTTTTTTTTATTTATTTCTAAATTTTTTGCTTCTTATTTTCTTTAAAATTGTTGCGGTACACTTGAAGACCCTTTTTGATATAAACAGATTAAAAAATCCTGTATGCAATAATTTTGTTAGCCTATTCAAATAATTAATTTATATTATAATTATGAAGTAAAATTAGTGAAAGATAATAAGTAATGCTGCAAAAACTTAATTCTAGTAACCAGTTTGAATCTCCAACATAATTATTATATTTGGATGGTTACATGGAAACAAAATTAATTTTAGATCTTACAGCAAAATCGTTCTTTCTGTACGTGTTAGCGTATTCTATTGTGCTGTTGAAAGATTAATTGATTGCGTGTTACAACGGCAATGAATAAAGTAAATCGGTGAACGAAACTCGAAGAAAGAACGCGTTTTTTCACGCGTTCCGCTTTTAGCAGTTGAATTATTAACTGTATTCACACGGAAAGAGGCGTCCATCCTCTGGAAGGCAAATCCATACCCGATTCAGCAATAACGAGGCGGAGAGAATGCATGCCTAGGAGAAAGTAAGTCGCCGAAAGTTTCGTTTTCACGTCTGGCCCGGTCCTAAAGCGACCGGTTCCGACATTTTGATCTGATCCGCGAAACGTTGCTTCAACCAGATTGTGAAACCGGCGGCTGTCGAGATTCGGACTGAAAATTGCCGGAATCGATTGGGTTCTGTAATTTCTTACTGAGCATCCTGTTATTGAGCATCGATGACTAAAAATTTCACTGTGATCGATTCGAGAAAATTGAAAAGATAATATTTTTACAAAACAACATATACGGACATTATGAAATACCAGGTTATATTGCGATAAATCAATGGCATCATCTGCCTCCTCCTAGCACAAATCTGAGATGGGAGTGAAAGGGTCCAGAATCAACAGGTTGCTCGATACTCGTTTCAGTTCCCGACCGACCTTTCCCGACCGCCAGAAAGCTGCGGTGTCTTTGCTCGCATTAAGATCTCTGCATGCAAATAACAATAAAGATATTTTTTAAATTTAAAGAGAAAGTAAAGGAACAATAAATTATCAAATTTAGTAATTTATTAATTGTTGATAAAACTACAATACTTTGATTAAAAATAAAAAAATGTTTAATTTAATTAAGCTCTGCGATAAAGTTTGACTTATTGCTTAATAAAATTTAAAATTGCAGTTTAAAATTGTCGACGTAAATACAAATTTTTTTCCTTTCTGTCTTTCTGCTCCAACAAAATTTAAAACAAGTAGAAAAAATTGTACTAATGTGCAATTGAATAAAAAAATTTTGTCAGAAAGTACCAAATAAGTGTCTCACGAATCTCTATAAAGTAAAATAAAGATAAAAAGGGGGCAAAAGGAGAGAAGAGAAAGAATGAGGGAACTAAAAACGAAGCAAGAGGTATAAAAAGAAGTACGGTAAGCGAAGAGGAGAAAGGAATCCTTCCGTGACTCGCGAGAGTCCGCCGGTCTCTCGTGGTTTCCGCGTTCGCACAACAGGCATCGCGTCTACCGGACCGGTTCTGGTGATTCAGAACCTCATGCCTTCACTACGTAACTTATGTCGGGCCCTCCCGCACTCTCTTTTTTCTCCGCTCGTGGCGTACGATCGTCACGATGAAAGAAGAATAACCGCGATCGGTATGATTGACTGATAAACATAAACTTTACTTAAAACGGATATAAGAACTGGAAAGTGATTGTATTTCGACATTTACAATTATAATTCTCACGTTTCCTCCAAGTAACTTAAAATACAGTATTGAAAAGATTATTCCAAAAAATTGTTTAATAGAAACTAGAAAGTATTCACTACGTGAAACTATTCTTTGTGACTTCCTAACGGAGTTTCTTAAAGGAAGTTTTACGAATTTTTTACATCGATAAATAAATATATGTTGCAATTATATTTACGAGAGCACCCTCAATTTTATGGTGTTCTCTTTTTTTTTTTCATTTTTCAATCTTCTTTTTCTTGTTAAAATTCTCTTCTTTCATCGTCGTCGTTTACTAAATTACACTCAACTACAACTCTAACTGCCGATGCTTCCGCGTTGATCGGAGGTAGAACAGAGATAGCGGGATTCTTTTTGGATCCTGCCCACGGATGCCCGACCCTGATGGCCCTGACCCAAAGCGAGACACGCTTTCGCGAGTTATAATGGCCGCCACGGAACATCTTTGTCCTGCGTTCGCAACATTAAATTTATTAACGTGATTACTATTATTAGAATTGAAAAAAATTCTTTCGTAGCTTGATCATGAAATATATCCTCAAGATATTTCAGATTCAAGTACAGAACTCACTTTGTTGCATCATTCAAAGTAATCCGCAAGGTTATTAACTCTATAGATTATCTACTTAATAACATCATAACATAAATAATAATAACATAAATATAATAATTTAAAAATAATTAATAACTTTTTGTATCATATCGAAGTAATTATGTAGAACGGTTAAGCATTGATGATAATGTTGCAAAAAGTCTTCTAGCAATTAGTTTCTTATATATTTAGCATCCTGCATATTTATCTTATACAATTAGCATCTTACATATTTATGCTACAAAAAAATTATTTCCAAATTTTTTTTTAAATACTTCAACAAGAAACACGTTCTCTCCACGTATTAAACGATTTAGGCTTAATTTAATCCGAAAATCAGGAGTTTCTATTTTTATAAGCATTAAAATGCATAAAAAGTAAAACGAGCAGTTGGCGAAAATCAAAAAGTGAGTCGGTCGACCTCGTTATGTATCTATAGAGTGACATACTTTTCGAAATATATTTTAATTGACCGATCTGTGAAATTAACGGAGCGCTCCTGCGCTCCTTCGCTAAGTAAAATCGAAAGTGGCAAAATACCACAGTCGAGGCGAGACGAGGAGATAGCGTTTCAGTCTGGTATAGAGAGAGGTGCATTTACTTGGAGGGGGTACAGCTTCCTCTTCTACCGTACGCGATGCAGACGAGGATGACGCTAAAACTTTAAAGGCAAGATCGATGTTTGTTCGCTGATGAATAATCATGCGTTTAAAGATATATACGAACGTCTCGTCTTTCTAAGTAACGTCTCGCAGCTCGAGAACCTCAAGATCGAAGGAATAAGACTGGATAAAGAAGTCGATCTATATATTTAAAAATGGACCGGAGCGTGAAAATTAAATTCGTTAAAGTGTTCGAAGCGTATAGCAGCTCGAAGTCGTGAATAAAAGCTCCCATGTTGTTCTTCAGCGTCTGAGAGTCTGCGGAGAGCCAGGTATCGAGAGAGGCGATAAAGTAAGTAGAGACGGAAGGCAAGCCACAGACAGGACAAGTGAAAAAGTGCGACTCGATCAGCCGGAGCGCACAGGCGAGCGGGCCAGGGCAGGTAGACCAGAGGACTACGACGGTGGCGTTCACCAAGCGGGAGGAAGAGAGGCCTAGATCCGGATCCTAGAAACTAGACAGGGACGTCGATAAAGCCGGTGGTGCTCGCTCGCTGGCTGGCTCGTATAGGAAAGAGAGACGACGTCGTCGTCGTCGGCGAAGCGAAGAAGGAAGAAACCGGCGGGTGTGTGCGCGCTCGCGCTTTTGCACGACGAGTGGGGTCAGGTTTCAGATGTATAGTGGGAGGTGGGGGCGGGAAAAAGCGGATGTTGGGGCGGTGGAGAATGAGACGGAGTATCGGCGAGTACGACAAAGAGGGAAAGAGCCTCTCGAACGGCGTGGCGCTTGCGACTCAGTGTCTTTCCGGACGCCACACGTTTGAGACACGCACGCGAGAGTTTCTCTTTCCCTCTCTCTCTCTCTCTCCAACCTCTTCCTCTCTCTTTCTCCCTCTCCCTTTCTGTACCCACCCTCTGTCTCTCTCGCTCCCTCCGTCTTTGCCTCTGACTGCGGACGCCCGCGTTCCTCCGTCTTCCTCGCTCCGTCCTTCCTCGTGCTGTCTCTCTACGCTCACCTCCAGGACGACGTTGAGGCACATCGTCCGTGCCCTGCCCCCTCTCGCCGGGTATGGAGTGGGACCAATAGGAGCGCCGCTTCCGGCAACGATGGTGCTCCAATCGGCATACGACGCCGACGGATAGACGCTGACGAGAGGCGATTTTGACAGTCGACACTGTGCTACTCTCAGAGCTCGCGGTTTAATCGTGCACTGAACCTACTTCGAGTCTGGGATCCCTTGTGGTTCGTGAATCGGAGCAGTGCCCTCCGCAGCGTGGACCCTGTTGCGTGGTCACCTCGCGAGCTCGCGAACGCAACTGAGTCCGACAGCTCGCGAAAGTGCCTTTCTTTTTATTCCCTGGATATTGGATTTTCTCATAGTGAATCATGATCGTATCGGGCCTGTTGTGAGTGGACTAATCGGAGCTTCAATCAAGCTCGCTGACGGGTGAAGATTAACAGCGATCACGTGCTCGCAGAGACAGCGATCCGCTTCGAGAACTCGCCGGGATAATTAGATCGAGCGGAACTTTAAACGACCGATTGCGGAAAATTCCGCAGCTGATTCATAGGATAGACTCCACGAGCATTTCCCGCACGGAGGTGTTCTCGTCTTCGGCATAATCCGAAATAATCGTATGTCCGCCACGACGCGCTTCGCTTCTGGAGCCGAATCAATTCGATAACGGGCGGACAGCCTCGGTGAACAATAAAACCCGCGAATACAGATCCAAGTTAATTCCCTTCCATCCAGGAACACCGCGCGTTACGTCGCGAACATCCCTGCTGTCGCACGGATGCGAGCGCGTCGTCCGTCCCGTTGTAAGTGAAAGGAAACCTCGGAGGACTTGTCGTTTAACCGCGTTGGACATTCCGGGGGCGGGGGGGCTGGGGGATATACCGCGTGAGACACCGCGAGGGTAATTAAATGCGCGCGTGAGATAATCGGATGAGCTGCGCTATGGAGTATCAGCAATTGGCGCCACCGCCGGTACCAGCTGGGGTGCTGCACACCCAGGCGCACCATCCTCAGCCCCAGCATCAGCAGCAGCCGGTGCAGCCGCCGCAGCATCCGCACATCGTAGTCGCGCCGGCTCATCAGCAGCCGCAATCCCAACAACCACCGCCACCACCCCTGCCGCCGACCTCCCACGGCCACCAAGTGCACCCGCCGCTACCGCCCATCCACGAAGACAGCACGAGTTCCAGGTGGTCCCAGTACCAGCACTTGTGGAGGCAGCATCATGTTTACATGAACGGTAGGCACGCATATCACAAAGTTGGAACAGACAGATATTTAGACGGAGACACCGCGCCGGTCTCTCCGCAAACGGAAACTTTAGATCGATAAAAATTCATCGACGCACACCTATTCTTTTTTTCGCACACAGCGAAAGATTTTATTTCGCTGACTGCGTGAGTGAAAATTAAAAATGGTTTTTCATATAGTTAATGATTATGAATCAAGCTACGTGTAATGTCACGGTATTATCGCTTGGAAAATCGGCTACAGAGGTAGCGGCGATGGAGAAGGGAGAAGTCGTCGTTCAGTAGAAACGCCCACCTGTTGCTTACGTTAGCCAGCCTACATTCGATCTGCGACTACTGCACGACGATCAGCGTATTAACGCGGAATTCGCGTGCGTTTGTTCACAATGTATACATGTAAATAGCACAATATATCAATAGAAAATTTCATGCCAAAAGACGCGTATGGCGGTACGTTTAAAAAAAAGATCGATTTCCAAGTTTTAAATCTTTCTTTTTACAAAAGATTTTACGACAGACGGAAGAGATGGAAGTATAGAAAGAAATTTACGGTTTGAGAAAATGAATATGCTCGATAATAAAATTGAAATAAAAATATACATTATACTCGCGCGCGTACATTTAATTTCTTTAAATATAATATATGATGCAACACATAAAAAATTTATTACGATTGAAAAAATCGTTGCTCAATAATGGGAATTAAAATAAAAATATATATATTCAAGTGCTTAACTGCTATTTTAATTTCTAGCTAAAATAATGCATGATGCAACAAAGTGTAGTCGTTGTAATGACTGTCACCGCGAATGTCATCGAGAAGCGTCTTTTACCTGCATCGTTTATCGCGAAACATATCTGTTAACTAGGCGGGTCGGATTAATCGAACATGGAGCGTGAATGAATCATCCGTCTCCATGTATGTAAACGTGTGAATTCATCTATGTACCTATCCTAGTTACAGCGGATTCGACTCAAGGCTCTTCGCATTTGCATCCTCCCACGTCCTCAGTTCGCTCCTGCTCGCGCTCGCGTTTCTTCTCTTTCTCTCTCTTTCTCATCTATTTATCTCCTTTTGTCGTACAAGTAGAAAATTTCCGTGGAGAAACTATTATTGTTTATTTGCATACGCTCTCAAGTCGTACCAGCGTCAAATTAGAACGAACCGTGTGTTCTATTCTCTGTTCTCCATCCTATTTTTTATATTCAGTTCTCATATCCATTATTATTGTAAAAGGCAAGCATAACAAATTTACTTGCACAAACGAATCAGATACTTATACTCGGTAAAAAAAGATAAAATAGCAAAATGTTTGCCGTCTATTTTAAAATAGTAAATATTTGCCGTGCACTTTAACGAATATTTAACAAAAATATTTGTTGAAAATTCATTGTGCGTAATAATATCTAATATTTACTCAATAATCAAAAATTTTGATACTAAAAGAATTGTCCGTTCTTTCTATGAATATATAATAAAAATTGATTGTATTATTACTTGATAATAAAAATTCTTTAATCTTGATAAATATAAGAGAATATATTACATTTCACGTGTTATTAAAATGCGAGTTTACATATTTTGATCAAAAATTGTTCATCTTAATTTACTATTGAACATAAACATACGTAAAAAAAAACTTGACATTTAGCAAAGCACATGCTAAATTTTAATGGCATCAGGAAATGTTATATTTGTTTACGATTTTTTAAAAACATTTTTCTAACATATAGTTTTTTTAAATACATGTAATTTGTTTGATGTAAATCAATATTCTTAAAAGGAATATTATATATTATAATATATGACTATATCAATATTCATATAAAGTTGATTTAAATCGATTTCTTGCAGATTATTTTTTCAACGTTTCAGTTTTTTCCAAGTTTCAGTTTAAAACTGTCGATTTGTGTTCACAAATTAATGACCGATATAGCCTCTGACTATACGCTTGTCGGAGTAGCGCTACTCGTGTCCGCGATATTGTTATCGAGTACAATAGATTAGAATCGCATTTGCGAATGCACAATGCGAAGGATGGGTTAGTCTAGCCTCACCTAGTCCTAAAGCATATAACATTATATTGTTAACGTCATGTTATTGTAATAGTGTCAAATTCGTACTTCGAAATTATCCTTTTTACGAAATTCGCTAATCACATTTTGTTATCTAAAGTCTATAAAATGCCTCATAAGGGAGACACTTGAAGGATATTTTTAAAACACAGAGTAGAAAATGTTTATAATATAAATGTGAACACGATTTTGCACTTCGTGCAAATTAGCAACGTGCAGAAAGAGAGAGCGAGAGAGAGAGAGAGAGAGAGAGAGAGAGATATCCTTCGTAAACTAAAACGGTTCAGAATTATTCTGTATCAAATATTTATAATTTATAAAGATAATTGTAGATTTTCATTTAAATACAAAATTATTTTGCGATTAACGGAAAAGCAATTTTTATGTGAAATAAGAATTTTCGTGACATTCTTCGCAACTATTATTTCAAGCATGATTTTACGTAAAATCTGTTTTTCTGATCGATAAATTACCCTTATGAATCATTATCGATTTATCTGGTTCACGCACAATATGAATATTAACATGTCTCTTAGAATTTTAGATGCTTGAATTGATTACATAGAAATTATTATCAGAGAAATTGATTAAGCCGTGACGTAAAGCCGGCAATCTTGTTGATATTGAACCGCATCTTCGATTATACGAGCGGAGTTTTCGAGTTAACTCGTGCGCCGACCTACGACCTCAAGATATCTTGTTCTTGACCTTGATAGTGCTCTCATTGGAATTCCGCTTTAAAAATCTTTTGCAATTTAAAAAAAAAAATGGAAAGATATTTGTTATATACAAAAGATATTTGTAGAAGATCACGCAACAGAAAACCGGGATAATATCTTACGTACATAAGTACATACTATTTATAAAACGCATTCATAAATCGTCTAACATCCATTTCTAATTTTCTATCAACATAGATTAATTTTAATCTCGGTTTTTTTTTTTAACTCACTCTTCATTTTTGTCTAATTCTTAAAGTTACATAAAAACAAATCAAAAGTATAAGTTGAACTGTGAGATTAAAGTTAATCCGTGCATTGGTAGAAACGGGCATAAGTCACACTCGCGAGAAAGTGCTCACATTTTCCTTAACAGGCACATTGTATAAGATCCTGTGCACGAAGTCTCTGTACTGTTGCTCGCATGAGCACGCGTATCGTTCAAAAGCGTATCCCGATCAAACAGGTGAAACTACAAAGTGTAACGTGTACGTAAATATACGTGTACATGTGAAACATTTTTTTTAATGCGCTGATATAAATATACCATTCGACAATAATACACGCACGTTGTACGGACTGCATTCGGAGCACGAGTGCAGTCCACGTGCTACGCCTTTTAAAGAAGTCGATGCGCGAAATCCGATTTCGCCGGACGACATTGCGATCGTCAGAAACGATTATTCGTGGATTACTCCATTACTTACTCATTGCGATCCTTCAAAATTGATCCTGGGCATACAACAAACATTATTTATTAATTAAATCCTTGAATTATTTAGAGACGTTTACATATAGAAATACACATTTATTTATTGAATTATATTATTGAATTGAATTTCCCTGCTCATCATTACGTAACCGAATCGAAACAAATCATCGCGACGCCGCGACGTAGCGAAAGCCAGACGCCTACTCGTTTTAACATTAACTGACTAATAGCTAACAACTGACGAATCGTTCTTATCTTCTTCCAGGTAAGTTTCACTTGCGAAGTCGTAAGTCGAGCTGCATGCTACATTGATCGTATTACGTCAGTACTACGTGTTATTTATAATACTAAATAAAGAATTTGGACAATTTCTTTTCGGAATTCATTGATTATTAATTTATTGTTCTCCAATTGAATGGACGAAAATGGCCTCCAATGGACTGATTAGTTAAGTGTTAATTATGTGATAGGTAATAATTACACTGACGCCACATGTCAGTGTCGAGATAACAAATAATTTTTCAGCGGAGCAGAGAAAGTGCGTTGTGCAAACTTCTTTCTGAGCCGGTCGTGCAACAAAATTGCGACAGCTGCGAGAAATTTAAGTCGAAAGACTTCAAAGTTCATTATTGCATCGTGACTGTACTTATTACCGATAAAATCTCGAAATCGTGGCGTTTCGGTTATTCAAATTTCCGGGAATTCATGTAAATAGCTGATAATTACCATTTCATCGCTAGTATTTACATTGAGAAAAATATTTTAATTAAACCGATAAAAAATAGGAATTTGGTGACATCAAAGAGAATTTCTAATTATCTGAAATTATCTAGTAAACAGAAATTTTCTTTGATTTCTCCTATTCTTGATACGTTTTATTGATTCAATCAAACATTTTTTTCAGTGTAATCATTGGCTAACAAAATATAATATAGAATTGCATATTTTTTCAGATTAATAAATCAGAAAATTTCAATAATATTATTCAATAAATATTGTGCGTGTTTAAGATTTTTATGATGTAAATATATTGCGCCCAAAAATTATTAATATTTCCTGTATTTCGATATAATTTATATAAAGAGAAAGAGATTGTTACTTTTTTTGAGTCATTACAAAAATCGAAATGTAAAATACTCGTGAATTTATCTTTTGAGTATAATTGGAAAATGCGTTTGGCATGCATAATATTTTGGTATCGCGATGCACGTGTGCACTTTCCGTTAATCAAACGTTGATAATAAAGACAGTACATAAATCGGTTTTTTATTTTGTAGAAGACGATACCGACGATATGATTAGCGAGCCATCTCCAAGACCTCACTGATAAGCTTTTCCCTTATTCTTTTCTGTATAGTCGACTTCCAACAAATATAACGTTAATGTATCAATTAACATATCGATTAACATTGCATCGCAGCGTGGAAACTCGAAAACGCATGAATCTTGTAATCTGAATACTTAAGCTCGTCCATACAAAATA